CCCCCGGTATAAAGATCACTTTACATCAAATCTGGTTTGTTTGTTTAATCTTGCCAAGATCCAAACACAGAACCAAGCTGAATGCAAACCCCAGCTCCAAGAGGAATTTCCCCCATTCCAAGCCCATGCTTAAACCTGTTCTAATCTCATGTGCTCCCACCCGTTAATCACCACACCCCCACCACCCAGCATAAAGTTCACCTCAAATCAAATGTGGCTTGTTGGTTAGATCTTGCTGAGATTGAAACAGAGACAAACTGAATTAAAACCTTGGCTTGTTTGTTAGATTTTGCCAGGATCAAAACCTGTGGCCATGCTGGAGGCAAACCCAGCCTGGGGAAGAATCTTCCACCCTAAAACACATGCTCAAAACTGCCCTAACCTTGTATTTCCCCTATCACCAACCCCAGTAAAAGATTACCTCAAATCAAGCTTGACTTTTTTGCTACATTTCACCTAGATGGAAACCCATAGCCAAAATGGAGGCAAACACAGCACTGAGAGGAAGCTCCCCACTAAAACCTGTTCCCAAACCTGCTCTGATCTTATATTTCTCTCTATCCCAACCCCTCACCACCCTCCTGGTATAAAAAGCACTTCAAATCGAACTTAACTTCTTGACTAAATTGAAACCTAGAGCCATGCTGGATGCAAACCTCAGCCTGAATATGAATATTGCCCTCTAAACTCTTCCTCAACCCTGTTCTGGTCTCATATTCCTCCACGCCACTGCCATAGCATAAGATCATCAAAACTCAAGCTAGGCTTGTTGGTTAGATCTTGCCAAGATCACAGCAGCAGGGTAAGTTGGATTCAACCCTACAGGGGGGTAATAATTCCCCACTAGAATCACCAATGGTGCTAAAGGATAATAGAGAGAAGGGGGGGTATTCTGGGGAGCTAGGTCTGGGTGAGGGTTGAAGAGGGGGATTCTGGGTAAAGCTGAGGCAGGGAGGCAAGGGTAGTGGAGCAATTAATCATCCCACTCGTCGTCATCATCCTCATCACCTCCATTATCCTCGTCTTCGTCTGTGGGGTTGGAAGAGGGGATGGGGGAAGAACAGTGAGTAGGGGAGGGGCAGGAGAAAGAGGTATTGCCCCACCCCAAATCTGCACCCCCCCCCGTCCCTACCTCCCAGATGCAGGGACTCACCGGAGGAGTGGATGACCTTGCTGCGCTTCTGCATGACCTGCATCAGGGCCCCAACCAGACCCTCTGAGCTCTGGGCTGGCAGCGGGGAGTCCGCCACATCGGGGGTCTGCAGTGGGGCAAATGGCACAGCATTATACATAGCCATTCCCCAGCTGCCCTTCCCCAGAGCTGGGTGCATCCCAGCCCTCCTGGGGCCCTATTATACTCAGCTGTTGCCCAGCTGCCCCACTCCATAGCTGTCTGCATCTTGCTTTCTTCAAGTAGGGTTATACTTGGCCTGTTCCCAGCTGCTCCACCCCACAGTTTAGCACATCTTGGTTCTCCCAGTGCCATTATACTGGGCTGTTCCTCAGCTGCTCCACCGCACAGCCCTCCTGGCGTCCTGTTATAATCAGCTGTTGCCCAGCTACCCCTCCCAAGAGCTTTGTACATCCTGCTTTCCCCACTGAGAAATTCCCCATGTTGTATTATACTCAGCAGTTCCCCAGATGTCCCACCCCAGAGCTGGGCACATCTCAGCACCAAATGAACTTTCCCCAGAAATACCCATAACCGACCCCTCATACACACTTCAATACCCCTCTGCCCCATCTCCCCCAACTTCTCCCTGCCCCCCATTCAAAAGGATGCTGGGAAGGCCCTAACCTTGTTCAGCTGCACCCCTTGCTGGATTTGATCCAGCAGGGCCCCCCGGCCTTTCAGGGGCGGGGGGGGCTGGGGCCCAGGGGCACATCCTGCTGGCAGGGGGGGAGGGGGACA